GCTGTCTGTGTGTTACACTGAATATGACTAGAGCTAGCATGTGCTACTTTAATACACTTGATCAGAATACATTATTCTGGTCTTGTGTATGTATGGTACAGGTGACATAAGACACCTTATTATATCCTTTCCCCACTATTTTTTTTAACTCAACCTATTGTAATAACAGCCCCGTATTGCCACACTTGTGTGATGTCAGTTCATCACAAAAGAAGAAAAGTTTGTTTATCCAGGCAAGCAAATTTTTGTAGGCCAGAAAAAATTACCATCTGAAGATAAATGCAATGGATTAAGTAGAGAATATCTTCCTCCCAGTTTCAGTTTTTCTTCTGAAAAGCCTAGAGAGCATTTGTATCAGTTCCCTCAGTAAAGCGTTCTGCACTAAGCACCTTCTTGTGGTTCATGGTTTTTGTAGGGTGTCAGCTGATTGCAGGCACTGCGTCTGATTACTTTGAAAATAGTGACACAAACATAGAATCGTAGAATCGTATCAACTGAAAGAGACCTGGAAGATCCTCGAGTCCAGCCTTTGTCCCAGCCCCATCAACCTGCTGAAGGATTCCCCCCAACGCAACATCCACCCGTCTCTTAGACATCCCCTCCAAGCCAAGAGCACTCAGTTTCTCTAGGAGAGTGCTGTGGGCGACACTGTCGAATGCGTTACTAAAGTCAAGGTAGATGACATCCACAGCCTTTCCTTCATCGAGCAAGCAGGTCACCCTGTCAGGGAAGGAGGTCAGATTTGTTAAACAGGACTTGCCCTTCACAAACCCTTGTTGACTGGGCCTGGATCACCTGGTTGTCCTGCATGTGCTGGATAATGCAACTCAGGATGATCTGCTCCATCAGCTTCTCTGGGACTGAAGTTAAACTGACAGGCCTGTAATTTCCCGAGTCATCCTTCATTTCCTTCTTATAGAAGGAGATATGGTACTTTAAATAAATTATTTATTAATGAAAATAAAGGTAGCTGGATTTTCCACAATATTTTGGTGCTGCAAGGTCTGACATTGAATTAACTTCTTCTGAAATGAAATGGTGAATCATTGTTCGGTAGAAAGAAACTGAAGATAGTATTGGGTAAAAATCATATGAAGGAAACTAATGTTTTTTTCCTGTGCTGCGTGCTCTTTGGTAGTTATCATGAGATCTTGAGTCATTGGTGACAGAAGAGCTATTTATTGCTCCTCGATTGAACAGTGAATTTTAAGTCTCCTAACATAGATGTGTTTTGAGAATATAATCCTTGTTACTTTTGAGTCTGTAACGTACTGTAGTTTGAGGTCTGCAAAAGTAAGGATTGAAATACTTGCATAAACAATTTAGGAGCAATATGTCTAATAATGAAGTATTCCCTTTTTATTTATAAATCTGCATATAGTCCCCAGGTACCCTGCTTACAGACTAAGGATGTTAAGGAAAGAAGGAAAAGTCTTCGTGTTCTGCTTTTAAAACATGAGGGTGGAGGAAAGGGTACTAATTTACAGTTGTCTGTGGTTTAACAGGTCCTGGCAATTACTTTGACCATAATCCTGGCAAAAGCAACTGTATTGCTTACTGCCATAAAATGGGTCGTTGGGGGCTTGGGGTGAGTCTGGGATGATGAACTGTAATTCTTCTTAGTCCTTTGGTTAGGAAAGTGTGCAAAAGAACCTTACTGTTGGGGAGGGGGGAATTCTTCGGTGTGATTTCTCTACTTTTAATGTTAAATGCTGCTTCAGGTAACATTTGCTTACATAGCATAAGTAATGCTGTGAAACAAGACATTTTCTGTTCCCTTCTGAGTGTTTTTAGCTTGGTTTCTATAGCAATGAAACCTATGCAGAATGTCAGGTCTCTTCTTCCCCTGTCTCCAAAAATAACTTCTAAATTTACCAACCAGCGTAAGCCAAAATTAAATGGGAAGGAGGAGGCTCAGAGGTTGTTGGATTCCTACTGGTTTCAAGCAAACTGGTGACTCTACAAAGGAGAAGCCGTGCCCTGTGAAGGCAGGACCGAGTTGCTACAAAACAATATATCCACTGCTGTCTACCCTGCTGGCAAAATTTCCAGTTTGCGAGGACAAATTCTGCTGCAGTTGTGAGGTTTACTGGTTTGGTTTGGTTTTTACCCCAGTGGAGACCCTTGAGAGGAGCAGAAGTTACTGCCTTGAGGAGAGACCAAGAAATCGGGACACTTGAAAGAGAACTGACAAAAGCTGGCTTCTGTTCATGGAACAACTTGTGTTTATTGTTCTAGCTATAAACACTCCAGCTACTTAATCCACTTCTTGTGATTTTTGTGATGAAGTATTCTGTAAGGAGTCTTACGATTTCCCTTCAATTTGCTGCACTAGTATACCTCTGATGCCTTTCAGAATTTCTAAAAGGTCTGTATAGTAGAAGACAGGACAAACAGAAATTCTTGGTCCCTGAAAAACACCATTTTTAAATTCACTAAAGGGCATAATAGGACTCTCTTGTCTGGACCCATTAGGATGGAATTAGTTTCTGTTTCCTAATTGCAGTTGCTGTAACATTTGAATGATGTGTTAACTCTGTCTTTGAAGGCAAGAAGTCTCACATGCGTGTTCTTCTCCCATCCTCATGTTACCTCCACTGTTACCTCCACGTGTTACCTCTGTGTTACTAAGTTTGTAACTTAGTAAATTACAGATAACTCAGAGAAAGGTAACTTTTGAGAAAACATGTAGAAGACACAAAATTAATTTCCTCAATAATGACACAGTGAGATTTGAGCAGTGATGTGCTCTTGGACGAGTGAGCTGCTGTGGATCTCTGTGTGTCTCCAGGATAGTGACAGGACATGCTATGGCTTGGTAGGGGAAGAAATTTGCAGTGATTGAAGGTAGAGGGTGAAAGGAGAGGAAGAATGGAGAGCAGAAGAATGGTAGCAGACAGAAGTCCATTAACTAGACTTCATGTCTTTCCTTGATCATAGACCAGGTTGTTGTGGCGAGATGGTTGGAACTGCATAGACATTCCAAATGAGTGTGGGTGTACTAGCCATTAACATAAAAGTATGTCGGTAACGTTCTATTATTTGTTTCATTGCTAATTGAATGGCAGTTTTATTTAAAATGGGTTTTATTTTAGTCATATCCATTGCATTACTAGATTTTTCTTGTGAATGGTTGTACTCCATTTAGAACATTTATAGAGCTCAGGCTGTTTTTCTGACCTGCTCAGCCTTTTTAGGATCGAGTGTTTTGCTTCCTCACTTGCTTTCTCTATCCCTAAATATATTATGTTATTTTGAAGTGATTTTGTTTTCTTTGGCCCTAATTCCTCTAAATGGAAATACATATTTCTCAGATTACTACTTTTGCTGGATCACAGATTAGCCATTACATGACCTGATTGTTCAGTACCGAAAAACACTCAATAACCCCTATCAGTTCCACTGAAGGTGACTTCTTAGTAGTATGTGCTTATGTGTTAGGCTGTCCCTGCCCACAGCAGAGGGCTTGGAACTAGATGATCTTCAAGGTCTCTTCCAACTTATTCTATAATTTTCTGGCTTGGGCTTCTCACTACAAGAAAGACATTGAGGTGCTGCAGCGTGTCCCGGGAAGAACAACGAAACTGGTGAAGAGTCCAGAACACAAGTCTTATGAGGGGCAGCTGAGCGAACTGGGGCTGTTCAGCTTGGAGAAAAGGAGGCTGAGGGGAGACTTTATTGCTCTCCACATCTACCTCAAAGGAGGTTGTAGTGAGATGGGGTCTGTCTCTTCCCAAGTAACAAGCAATAGGGTGAGAGGACATGGCCTCACATTGCACTGAGAGAGTTTTAGATTGGGTATTAGGAAAAGTTCTTTACTGGAAGGGTTGTTACGCATTGGAACGGGTTGCCTAGGGAAGTGGTGAAGTCGCCATCCATGGAGGTATTTAAAAGATGTGTAGATTGGTACTTGGGGACATGGTTTAGTGGTGGATCTGGCGTGGCTAGGTTAATGGTTAGACTTGATGATCTTAAAGGTCTTTTCCAACCTAACTAGTTCTATGATTCCTTTGAACTATCTTTTCAATTTACCTGCCTACTGTTTAAACGTCTTCTGTGCTTGTGATTCCTTTTTTTTTACTTATTTTTGATAGAGAAAGAAAAGCATGGAATTTGTAACCTGTGGAACATGAACGTGAGCCGGCATTGTGCCCTTGCCACAAAGAAGGCTGATGGCATCTTGGGCTGCCCGTGGCAGAGCATTGCAATTAGGTTGAGGGAGATGAACCTTCCCCTCTGCTCAGCTTTGGTGAGGGCACAGTGCCGTTCCCAGGTCTGGGCTCCCCAGTACGAGCAAGCCATGGATGTGCTGGATAGAGTCCAGCAAAGGGCCACGAAGATGATGAAGTGCCTGGAGCATCTCCTATGAGGACAGGCCTAAAGCTGGAACTGTTCAGGCTGGAGAAGAGGGGGCTCGAGGAGGATCTCACCAAGATCACCTTGGAGAGGGCACTTGGCTTGAAGTAGCCCTGCTTGAGCAGGGGGCTTGGCCAAATGACCTCCAGAGGTCTCTTCCAACCTGAGCTGTTCTGGCAACTTTGGTATACTCTGGATGTAGAACAACTTTGGTATGAATGTTACTACTTAGTAAGGAATTTGTCATTCTGTCTTCTTGGAGTGTGCTTTTTGCACTAATATGACTGTATTTGGTCTAATAGGAAACTAATTTTATTGGGTTTGCCTGGCTGGATTTTGGTGGCAGGGGGACTGTAGTGGTGGCTTCTGCAAG